CATCTTTTATGTTCATGAATTTGTTTCTGATAGTAGCAATCTTCTGTGGGTGTTAATTCTGGTAGTAGCAGTCATCAGATTGTGTTACCTAACTCAATGCAATAAATTTTATATTTGGGTAAATACTTAAATTTTGTTTTGTGAAGATTATGAATACATAAACAAACAACATTTATAATCAGGCCACTTTTTACATCCTGTGTCATCATCAGTATGAAAAGGATTTTGTTGGGAAGAAGATATGAAAAAAGATTGGTCCATTGCTCTTTTAAATGAAACATTTGTTTATCGTTTACTGAACTGTTTCCATGAGAATTAATCATTTATCTTCCAATGATTCTATAACAATTAATGAGTAACTTATGGATACTAAGGTAGCAAATGAGGCTATGAATGCTATTGAAAACTTTTCGACGTTGAGAATAAAAAGATCCTGACATAGCATTCATAGTCTCATTACTGCTTTTGTATCCTTTTGTCAACATGAGTAACTTAATTTATGATTATCTGTAAAACGACTTAATTATAAAAGATCTACTGGAAGTAACAAAAAAATATGGGACCATTTATGTTATTTTGAGAATCGATGTTAACATAGAGTAATGTGCAAGTTTATTAGTCCTTAACAATTGTCATTGTACAAGCTTTACACGTGTAATAGTAATTAAACTGCCGTAGAAAGTCACTTGTAATTAAAGCAAATTAATCTTACATGACACTAGTACAAAATTAGTAAACAAATATTGTCTTTACGTTTCTTTAATTTTAGTGTGGCCACTTTTGGTATCAATAACAGTTTGAGATCTTTATATCTTCTCAAAGTCACTGGTGTAACTTGATTCCATTTTTGTTGAAAACAGGTCCAGGATTTTTTTTGTCAATTGTGAAGTCCAGAAAATCCCATACTTGTTTTATAAAGTTTAAGGTTTGAACTTTTGGCAGCTATTCCATTTTCTTTGAGTTTTTTTGTCTTTGCCAAATAAGTTGATCATTTCTTAGAAGTGTGTTTTGGAGTCATTACCTTCTTGAAATATGAAATTCTGTCCAATCAGCTTCTTTCTGGAGGGTATGGCATGACAAACTAATACACTGTGGTACTTATTTTGATCCATGACATCAGTTTTGTGAATATGGCCAACATCATTCACAGAAATTACATCTCAAACCATCAAAGAGCCTCCTGCATGTTTGACTGTTTACACAAAACACTCCATCAGTAACGTCATTTACTCACTGGCACCAGCCATAACCAAACAGTTCAAATTTAGAGTTGTCTGTCTAAAACACCTTGTACTACTGTTCCAAAGACTAGGATACACATATATTTGCAAAGCTAGTTTTTTGGTTGTGTTATCTTTGTGGATTAAGGGATTCATTTACTGTTACTTTTCCCCAAGGCCATATTCCTTCAACTTTCCTTTACTTTACCTGTGTGTGACTTTTTAATGTCATCAGCAAAGTTTTCCTCTGTTTTCTCAATGAGTTTATTTTTAGATACTTAATATCTTCCATCTGATATTGTAGGACTGGGTATGGTGAACAACCAAGGTTTCTTGCAATTGTTTCTTAAACTCTAACCACCATCATATAAAGATTTGATCCTGACTCTGTGTAAGGGTTAACTGTTATTGTTTCGACATTTTAATGGGAGCAACACACTGTAAGAGCTTTATTCGGCGACATTTTTGAAAAGTACGGAGTGTGAAAATTTCAAATTTCTTTCAGCAATAACTGATACAGAAGGTAAGAGGAATAATTTGTGAGATAAATCTTTAACAACTTTTAGAAAATCTACTGCATCTAATCATTTGTATCTATTTGATACTTTTCTCTTAAAATCAATTCAATATTTAACATACTAGTCAAGGATACAGTGAAAATTTTCCTATTTTGATGCTTTCTCCAACCTTTTAAATTACGGTAGTGTTACTTTATATGCACGACTTATCAGAGCTACAAGAACACTGAAATGTTCTAATGAATTTACACATTGCTCTATGTCAGCAAGTAATAAAGAAAACTTATTTTTTTATAAAATTAGTTAATAACAACTTACTAAAGAATAAAGAAAGATGATACTTCTAATTCAGATTAGAAGATCCATTACCTCCAGGCTGGGAGATAAAATACACACCAGGTGGCACCAGGTACTTTGTGGACCACAATATGAAGACCACTACATTCCAAGATCCCCGGTCTGCCAAAGGAGGCAAAGGGTATGAACCAAAACCATTTGAATCAAAATTTTCTGTTATCCAAAATGTAGTTAACAAAAATCTACCCTTGTGGATGACTTTGAAATTAAAGGTTTTCTTTAGAACAGACAGGTAGAACTTTTTATTTTTGGGGATGAGTGTCGGAACAACAGAAATGTTTTAATATATTTATGCTGGTTGAGACAAAAACACATCTAGTCTCTTTCCAGTTTTCTGTATCGTCGCCGAGATAACTTTTTGTTTTATATCTAGTTTTCAGTAATTGAAACAAAATTAGTTTCATGTATAATAGAAATGTAAGTAAATGAAATGAGGTTGTAGCAGAATCTGTCACTATTCAAATCATGTAGAAGTTTGGTGACTAAGGGTAGGTTGCAGTTCATACAAATTCACTAATGCTACAATTTTACGTGGTGGAGAAAAGTCCTTTTCACTCGGACTATTACGGATATTTATTTAATCCACGAGTTACTTGCTTGTAGTGAGGAAAGGAAATCCAGTTTATGTTTTAAATAAAAGTCCAGACACGTGGCTTTTGAGTGGATTGTTTATTCCTATTTTTTGTTTGACTTAATAATTACAATTTTTCGACCACTCGTGTGGCCATCATCAAGTAATTGTTGTTTATTGTATGAAATGGTAGAGATGATGGTGGCCAGACGAGTGACCGAATAGTTATAATTCGGTTAAACAATACATTCAAAAGCTGTATCTCTGGACTTTTTCTTTAAAGCTACTAACTTCTTTTTATACTGTTCACTACCAGTATCATATTGGATAATTTTGTTTTTACCTGTTTAAACAACCAATATGAAAAGAATGACTTAAAATAAATAGGGTAAAAACACTTATTTTTTGTATAATATACATTGGGAAACCCAACAGTGTTAATATTTTTGTTTAAAACATTTTTCTGACAAGTACATTGGGAACCATTCAACCAATAAAGTCATGGATGTAAAAGAAATTGGTTGAATAAATATATTTTAGACATATTTTTAAATGGTTCATGGCAGACCATATAAAACCCATCTCCAGGATGAGTAATTAGTTTTTCTATGGAACAGAAAATGTAACTCATTTTAATTTTTCAATTAATTTATTTTCAGACCTAAAGGAGCTTATGGTGTGCCTGTAGCTTACGAGAGGAATTTCAAATGGAAACTCACGCAGTTCCGATACCTTTGTCACGTGAGTAGAAGGTTTGATATCTCTGTCATGGGGGTAAAAAGCTTGACATTTTAATAACGTGTGATAATACCTTTGTCAAGTGAATAGTTGTTTTTACTCGTACCACTGCACATAGGTGACACTAAACAGTGATTACCTTCAATAAGTTAGTACTCAAAAACAAATATTTCATTCTATACTTCAATTCAAATGTTTTTGTTCATGTCTGATGATACCTAATTCCGTATAATGTGGTTGTTAATTGTTTTATGATCTGACAACTTTCGGTTTGATTGCCTTCATAAAGATGTGAATTTTACCATATTTTTATACTAAGAAACGTAATGTTTGGCTGAAACTTTGTGTAGGAGTCAACTGATATGCGAGTATTCTGTCTGTTTCAGTGCAATGCTCTGTCGAGCCACATAAAAATAACAGTATCAAGAAGCAATATATTTGAAGATTCGTTTAGTCAGGTAAGCCTTTCGACTCGATGAAAATAAATAATTCATTATTTCAAGTGTGTTATTAATTAAATTTTCCACAAAATATACTTGTACTCCTCTTTAGTTTAAATTTTAAAACTTTCATGATCCTGCATTTTGTATTCCTAGGAACGAGAGAAAATATCACAAATTTTATTGATTAAGGCCATTCAAGCTTTATATCTTTAGATTCAGTGTGAAATTTCTTATCAATGTATGTCTATAGGGTCCCTGGAAATATAAATAGCAGACACACAAGGTAAGCAAGAGGTTAAAAACTGTTGGTTTATTAATTCTGTGATTGAACTACAGAAACAATTAAGGGCTAAGAGTACAAACAAAAACAGTATGTATTTTATCTCGTAGAGCAGCTATTAGAATATCAGCTGGGTAACTTTAACCCAACTCTGAACAAACTTGTGGGAAAATACAGTTATTCATAACTGCAGACTATTGTTTTATAGGGAAAAAATGTTAGAAATTATTTTGAGGTTTCCAGTGGTTATTACTTGGATGTGTTCATTTAAACACTACTGTAGACCTAGTTATAAAAAGTACTTTCGTTGTTGAGAAGACTAAACCTAATATAAAGAGCATTTTCATTGGTGAGGAGACTAAACCTAATATAAACAGCACTTTCATTGTTGATAAGGTTAAACCTAAAATAAACAACACTTTCATTGGTGAGAAGACTAAACCTAATATAAACAGCACTTTCATTGTTGAGAAGGCTAAACGTAATATAAAGAGCACTTTTATTAGTCAGAAAAAAGTAGTCTAAATTATCGCATCTGAACATCGTTAATGAACTTTCAGAGAGACAGACAGCTAGACATTATTGTTGAGAGTGACAAGTCAATATACCAGTTTAACAATGTGAGAAGTATAAGTCAGGCTTAGTAGTGGAGGATGTCAGATTGAAAGGTCATTTTGCTATTCATTGATAAGAATGGAAGGATGTTTGTTAATTTTATAAATTTTTCAGTAAAAACGACGCTTGTGTCATAGTAAAAAATAGTAAAAAAAAATAATTTAAATTGGCACATCAACTTAGAAAATTCTGGATAACAAACAGATTTATTTTTCATTTTGTTTAGATTATGAGAGTTCCACCGCACGAGCTCAGAAGACGACTCTTCATAACGTTTCGTGGAGAAGAAGGTCTAGACTATGGGGGTATCGCCAGGTAAACCAAGATAAAGATAAGCCCTTGAGATGTTATTTATTGTTAAGGTGTAGTCAAGTCATTTTATACACTTCTCTGACTTCAAACCTCTATTAATACTATGACACATCCTTTTAATTATAATCAGTGTACTGTGATGTAATATCACACCTATTATTATTTACTGTTTCTTAGACAAATTTTTAATATAGCCTTAACATTAGTATTACAAATACGGTTGTATCAGCAAAGTTCTGATATCTTAGTCTTAACACCAGCATACTTACAATGTGGCTAAACAGTTTTCATGTTCACTACCAGTATCATATTGGATAATTTTGTTTTTACCTGTTTAAACAATCAATATGAAAAGAATGACTTAAAATAAATAGGGTGAAAACACTTATTTTTTTTGTATAATATACATTGGGAAACCCAACAGTGTTAATATTTTTGTTTAAAACATTTTTCTGACAAGTACATTGGGAAGCATTCAACCAATAACGTCATGGATGTAAAAGAAATTGGTTGAATTATTATTTGGATCTTACAATGTGGCTGAACAGTTTTCACGTTCAGTAGGATTACCACTTAATATAAGTAACGTATCCAGTAGGATGTGCTATAAGAAACTGAGTTATTCAAGAAATCACGTGTTTCATAAATTCAGTAAAATAAAGCAATACAACTTACATTATTACAAAATTTTCACAAGAATAACAAACTCTTCGGAATCTTTGACACAGCACCAAAAATGTTGCCGACAGCATACAAGATGCACTGTTGTGGTTGTCATAGTAACTGGACAATGCCCCATAGCATTCAGATATTGAGTTCTCTGTTTTATTTTTTTTGTTTAAATTGGTTTATCTAAAGTTATGCCATTAAAGTGTAGCACATAGTAGTGAAAATAATTTGAAAACTGAATAAAACAGGTATAAAATGCAAATATGCGGTTGTCTCCCCCCCCCTTATTGTATGAAAATTAAATGAAGCAGAGCACAGTTGTTTGCAACTATGATTGCTTGTCAACCAATCACAGTGCCACACCAGTATAATGCCTATAAAACTACTGTTCCCAGCAGTAATGTGGTGAATGCACTTATGGTCTCTAGGATGGATATGACAAATGTGTAAAAATAAACATTTTTAGCTGGTGAAAACTACTCCAACTGAGGCAAAAATATCATATTTCAGTGGGAGATGTATGGGAACGCTGAATAGAGTATGTGAAACTAGTATTGTTGATAATAGGTTTTCTACCTTGGCTGCTTCTAACTGTTGAAAAATGATGCTCAGTAAATCTCTATTTGGAAAATGATGGTATGAATGTTACCTCCAGAACAGTAAGATACATATTACCACAAAGTGGCTTGAGTAGCCTGAAATGGGCATCAGACTTCATACAGTGGAATGCATAAAGCTGGAGGAGGGTGCTCTTTACAGATGAAGCCAACAATAGTTTTTTTCCGATGGCACAGAGGAAAATGGTACAACAGTTGGTATACAACATCTATATTGAGGATCCTGGGGGACCAAAACAAATACATAGATTGCATCTCTTCCAATAATGAAAGATTCATACAAGATTAATGGCACCCTAACTGTTGACAGGTACATTTAAATTTTTATCTATCGTATCATTCCCTCAGAAACAAGACCTGTTGGGCAGGGATCCAAAGCATGTTGCAAATGTGGTGCAGCAATACCTGGAAGAAAAAAAAAGAAACCACTGAATTCTTGATATGAATATTATTAACTTTGTATTAAATAAGGAATTCAGTAAACATTATCCTTCTATTGATTATAAATAACAATGTCAGTGAGAGTTATTGCCATTTTTTGAAAGACAGGATGTGATTGGGGGGTTTGACTTTCTGGTATATATATCTCAGTGACGTAAGAGGATTAGAGTCTATAAATTTACGTTGTCATAGCAGTATCTATACTACAAGTCTGTAACTTGTCCAAAACTCGGAAGATCGTATAGGGGTAAAAAAACAAATCTAAAACGAGCAACTTAGAACAAAGTGTTTTGACAAAGGAAAGTTTGAAAATGTATTTAAATATTTACTTTAAAAATTAAGAAATTAATATATGAAACATAAACTACATTTGGATGCCGTGTTTATTGACATACATTTGAATGTAACTGAAAAGGTCATGACACGTGCACTTTGAAACATATGCACAAAGCCTTTTAACCCTGTATAGATAGGGTTAAAAGGGTATAGGAGCTTATATGGATAATGAGAAGGTCAAATGGAAGCTTGACAACTTGGTTGTAATTCAAGACACTTGGAATAATATTTCACAATCAAACTTATAATAACTCAAAAACAGGGTTTACTGACCAGTTTAAAGCTAGTAAAATTTACTTTTGACATTTTCTACTTTCCATAATAAAGTTGGCTACTCAGTTACAGTTACTCATTGTATCTCTTGTGAATTCCTTACTTATTTCTAATACTGTATATCTTAAATGTTTGCAAGTTATTCTGAATGAAGTCTGATGACCACTGCAATAGTAAATTACATCGAATCAGAGTCTTGTGTGTGGGTTTTGTAGTTTAAAATTTCTCATACTAAGACTCGGAACGTTCTGAATATATATATTGAGTGGTGGATTGCAATATATGTTAATATATCTAAAGGTAAAGATCACATGAACACTGTAAAAGATAAAAGGTCAGTAATATTATAAAACATTTCCATAAGTATATGACATTATATTCGTCAGAACTGAGATGCGATATAAATTTGAGCATTCAAAGCATTGCTTCGATGTGCCATAGTCCTTTTTAATACTATCTATTACAGTATTAACCTCTTCTGTATTTACAGAGAATGGTTTTTCCTTTTGTCTCATGAGGTCCTCAACCCTATGTATTGTCTTTTTGAGTATGCTGGTAAAAACAACTACAGCTTACAGATCAATCCTGCCTCTTCAGTTAACCCTGATCATCTGCTCTACTTTCGATTTATAGGTCGGTTCATTGCAATGGTAAGTGTTTAACTGTATAAATAAATAAAATAATCAGAAGCTAAGATTCCTCAATTAACCTTCCCGGCTGTTTTTCAGATTTTACTAATGATTTACAGGCAGTGTTGTTCTGCATATATTCTATTTTTGTCAGATATTATATACTCAGATAAAAAATTTCCGTCTGTAAACGGGATAAAAAAGTGTATGTATACGTTTTTTTTAAGATTGTAGACATAAAAAAACGATACTTTATTGTAACGTACAACTTGTATATCGATACAAAATCACTCGTCAGTAAGTTAGATATTGTGTGTGATGTGCTGAAATACGAACCTAGTTTTATATTTGAGGTACCATTAACTATTCGTTATTTGTACGTGTGTGTTTGTGGTAGTTATTAGATTTCCAATTGTATTTTATGTTTTATATTTGAGGTACCATTAACTACTCGTTATTTGTACGTGTGTGTTTGTGGTAGTTATTAGATTTCCAATTGTATTTGAGGTACCATTAACTACTAGTTATTTGTACGTGTGTGTTTGTGGTAGTTATTAGATTTCCAATTGTATTTTATGTTTTATATTTGAGGTACCATTAACTACTCATTATTTGTACATGTGTGTTTGTGGTATAAATTATGGTATTTATTAGATTTCCAATTATATGTTATGTTTTATATTTGCCCATTAGATGCATAAGTATAAGGTTAATATTTATATACAGAGGATCTCAAGATATCAGTCTCCCCCTCTTTACCATTTTTAAATATTTCAAAGTTTGTGTGTTTGTAGGTGTTCTTAATAAATCATACATCGAGGGCTTTTATTTCAAATCATTGTTAATCAACGTTTTATTGATAGTTGTGTTATTTTTCAGGTTTGCAGTGCATTGGTGTGTGTTGAGTCAGATTATAGCAGCTACAATACACTAATTTTTTTTTTCACTAATTGTGTCCGTAATTATGCAAACTTTTAATCAATCAGCATTAAAGATCACAGTAAAAACTGTGAAAGTATGAGATTAGAGTAGATTTGTTAACAAGTGTTCTTAACCAAACTTCTTGTAAGTCTGAATTTAAACTATGCAGCTATATTTCATTATTGTACAATTTTTCCCAGGGAAGTTCTAAAGATTCCATGTCTTCTTAATCCATCCTTTGTTAGGCCTTGTTCCATGGAAAGTTCATATACACTGGATTTACGTTACCTTTTTACAAACGCATGTTGGGGAAAACGCTTACGATGAAGGATATAGAAAGTGTTGACCCAGAGTTTTATAACTCTTTGGTTTGGATTAAGTAAGTGAACATTTTTACATTACATTTTTACAAGTACATGTTGAGGAAGAAGTTGACTCTCAGTTTTATAACTTATTACTTTGGATTAAGTAAGTGAACATTTTTACATTACATTTTTACAAATACATGTTGAGGAAGAAGTTGACTCTCAGATTTATAACTTATTAATTTGGATTAAGTAAGTGAACATTAGAATCGTAACAAAAAATCATTAAAACTGTACTTGAATATTTTAGTTCCCGAGTTCTTGTTCCAGAATCAATACCAGCTATGTTTGTACATTTAATATATTGTTTGTGAGAAAGTTTTCTTAGAATGCCTAGTTATTATCACAAGGAGAATAATGGCATGTTCCTCATCAGCATACTGATATCAGAACTATGTTTTGTTTTAGAGAAAACGACATAGAAGAATGTGGACTGGAACTTTTCTACTGTGTTGACTTTGAGATCCTTGGCCAGATTCAGTCGCACGAGTTAAAACCAGGTGGTGCCGACATCCGTGTAGATGAAGTAAACAAAGATGAATACCTCAGGTATTAGAACGTACAAAAAATAAATAGATTAGCTTTATTGTAGGTTTAATACTGTAGCTCAGTGCAGCAACCTGATGATGCCATATCGTAGTTTTCTTGGCCAGATTCAGTCGCACGAGTTAAAACCAGGTGGTGCCGACATCCGTGTAGATGAAGTAAACAAAGATGAATACCTCAGGTATTAGAACGTACAAAAAATAAATAGATTAGCTTTATTGTAGGTTTAATACTGTAGCTCAGTGCAGCAACCTGATGATGCCATATTGTAGCTTTCTTGACTTATTTATTCGTTTGAAATATGTGAAAGAATACATAAACCATATCAAGATTTCCAATGTGAAATTCAAAACTATAGCCATTATTCACGATAGATTTCATAC